CTGGCAAAATCTCTAGAAAAGAATACCAACTCCTAAACCAAGCTTCCCCAATGCTTTGCTACTCCCCATATTCCCTGCCATTCCTGGCCCCCCGACATGCCTCTTCCAGAGCGCTGCTTCCCTGAGTTCTGGGTTCCCCCATTTCTGGGCATCCATAAGATCCCAAAATTGAAGCCTTTCAAAGTCAGTAGCCACTTTAAAAATGTTGGTCTTTGTTCTTCTTTGGGAACCTCTTACCATCTTGTAGGCTATAAAATTGTGTGTGCTGCCTCTTAAAATCTGAAGTGGGAAGGTTTGAGGCAAGACCTCAGGAGAGAGGAGCAGTGCAACGTCAGGAGCAAGGCTGTGCTCCTCGCTCATCCAGTATCTGTGCAGTGTTATAGGCATGCGGCACTCTGGTTACATTATCTCCGATATGGTGCTTCGTAGTTCTTGACTGTGGCCCCTTGGGAATTTGTTTGCAGGCTACTTGCCTTGTCTCTACTTAAGGGTAGTAAAGAGGAAGTAGGGGACCAGAGGGCAGGACCCAGGGACAGGGAACTACGGGATTGCTGCTGGCAGACTTTCCATGCATGTGGCTGTAACACCTGGTTGGGCTCCAAACATGGGCAAGAAAAGTCAAGCAAGGTAGTGAGCAGGGTTGAGACAGTGATGAGAGTCAGCCAAGTTCAACATTGCTTCCCAGGTTGTGCTGGAGTGTCACCAAGAATGGAGCTAAGGGGGTTTCAGTGGAGATGGCCAATGTGTGTGGGCTTTAAGGTGACTTGTATGTCACCCTGAACTCTCAGCAGAGTCTCAAGTTTTCTCATTGCCTCCTGGCAGATGCAGTGGTCCTTATCTTCAAGCCATAAAAGATTCAGGCTCTGCACCTAGGCCCAAAGGGAGCTCCTTCTGACACCAACCTGCTACTGTCTCTGCTCAGAGTATTGGTTTATTTACATCACAAATATTGAATCATGAAAATGAGAAGTCAGGAGTGCTTAAAGCTTCCTGCTTCGGCATTTCCTTTGTTCCTCTCTGGCAGGATTTTGCCCTATATTTAGGCTTTGGCAAGCTGAAGGAGGGTATCAAGCTTTTTTAAGGGGCTGATTGGGTATGCTGTAGTGATGTAATTTTATGTAGATCCACTGCTTCTCTCTTCAGCTTGGAGAAGAGAATGGACAAGTGTCAAGCCACCGCACCTTGGAGACCAAGGGTGATAGCCTGAAACTCAGGCTCCATTTGTGTGCGCCTCAGTTCCCCATCTGTGTAATGGGTGCAATAAGATTTCCTTAACTGACTGCAGTGTTCTGGGGATAAATACTTTACAGACGGTGAGGTGCTCATTTACTGTAGTAGGGGGAGGAGCATAGAAATTCCCCAGAGATGACTCTAGCTTTTCCAAAGTGGGGAAGGGCACAGTATTATTACTCCTCGTCTTGCCTTCCCAATACTTGGCCTCTTTCTGTGGCCTTTGTGCAAAAAGGAAGAAAACTGGGGCTCTGGTGCCCTCATATTTGTAGGCAAACAGAATGGAGCTGAAATGAGAAAGCTGCAGTTCTGGGCAGAGGGAATCTTACCTGCCAGCGAAGGTGTGTCGCCCCGTATGAAACAAAGCACTTTGCATTTGGGAGCCCCGGGTCTCTGTTGCTGTTTGTTTAACACAAAGCCAGGCTTTTCTATCATGGACCACACCCTGGCTCTGGGTGCACGTGGAGGGAGATCGTGCCAGGACAGGATGATTTACTTTCAAAGGATGGTGTGTGGTACAGAGGTGGGTGGGGGAAACTGCTTCAGGGCTTTTCCAATAGCTGCTTAAGCAAGGGCCAAGTCCATTGGATTGGCACATACTTGTGCTGGAACAAGCCTGAGCAGACACCTGCATGGTGAGTGAGCTCTGGAGACAGCTTTATGTCTCCTCTCCATTGGTTTTGATAAGAGATGGGCTGCGGGAAGTGGCATTTCAATTCAGTTTAGAATAGGGTTCACATTCAAAGTTTGAGACCCGGGCTGAGGTTCAGATACTGAGCTCACCTGAGCTATTCTGGCAAGGTCTTCATTTCTGCCCCATTCGCCCCCACCGTGACTGCCAGGAACCTTTGAAGATCAGCTCTTCCCAAGAGCCCCCCCCACTACCTGCAAAGAGGTGCTGCAAACCCTCTTGTTTAGGATTCAGCTGAAACCAAAACTGTTGGAGGGTGGACATGCATCACACCCATTTCCAAAACAGTAAATGTAAAGGTCTGGGTCTTCTAAGTCTATCAATTCTAGAGTGAAAGCATTTGCCCCTAGTAAGTCAAGTGCCCACAATGCTCAGAAAGCTGTTGTGCCCACCCGTTAGACATGCTTCTTCCATTGCCCGACTATAGCTGCTGCGAGCGACCTGTTTGGGGGAGAGTCTTGATTAGGCCTTGTCTCACAGCCCCATGCCAATGCAGCCCTGCTGCATGTGGGTCCCAAAGGTACTTGAGTGGGGTCTCCCAGCCTGATGTGCAGTAAGACCTGGAGTCAGCTCTGTACCCAGACCAGCTCTGTTGCTTGGGGACACAACCCAATATGAAGCCGTTAGGAAAACGTGAACAGGGAACCCCTGAACTGGCTGCTTATGGATCTGTCTACTCATGCCTCTCAGGTTGGGGTATCTTTCCGTCAGATTGCCGTGTCCCCTTCCAGGGGTCCATCCCCGATGTCTTTCGCCCTATACACCAGGGTGGGCCACTGGTGGTGGAGGACAGTGAAGGAGGAAAGGGAGCAGACAAGCTCCTCCATACATTACTGAGATAAGGGGACAGGCTGAACACACAGCTGGTGCCTTGCTGCTGCCTCCGTGACCTGACCTCTAGTTCCCTGGCCAAACCGGGGACGTCGGTCACACAGGCAGCATGAGGCCCCTGGCTGCCATCTGCTCCCCAACCTTGGCCCCTAGCAGTCAGCAATGAGGATCCCTTAGGTATCTGTTTTAATGGAAACAGCAGCAGCCTGGGCAGAGTATAAACACCCCAGAGCAAGTCTGGCTGCAGCTAGATGTGCTGAGATATCTGATAATGCCCAAGCTCATAAGCACGGGAGACAGAGCCACCATGGCAGTGTTTATGCATGAAAACAGTACAGCCCTGGTAACTCTACTTATGGACTATTTATTCTGATATCTGCGAGTACTTTACAAAGATGGGCCATTATTTTCCCAAGGAGGGAAACTGAGGCACTGAGCCGTACCTTGAGTTACACAAAGTCACCCACCAGAGATGAGGCCAAAACCCAGGTCTGCTGGCTCAGTCCAGTGCCAGTCCCGCTACAAAGTCCTAATCAGAAAAGCTCAGAAGAAATCAATCGCTATTTAAACCCATTCACTGCTTGAAGAATCTATGCTATAATTCTGGGGAGGAGACATTGTAATTTTCTTACATACCAAAAATTGATTTCCTGCTTTACCTGCAAAGCTCTCCCCAGCCTTCGATGCAAGCAGCCTCTCTCCGTAGTAGAAAATTAATCGGAGAATTTAGAAAAACAAAACAAAAGAAAAAAACCTGATTCACATATTTTCTTCCTCGCCTCAAAATAGCACTGTTTCTGGAAAGCATTTCCCAATAAGGTTGTTATGAACTGCTTGACAACAGCAACTGCTCAGCGGTTACCTTGTAGGAGTCACTCTTGTCCCCAAAGGGAAATGGTGAGAAACACGTGTGGAAGTTCCCTTACTAAGAAAAGGCAAAGTAAGCCTGCAGGAGGTTGGAGCAGTAACCCCAGAAGTTGTGGCTGTAAACTGGAGCAGTTTGGACCGAGACTCTATTCCTTTTCACATGGGTTTAGTTCTGGTCTATCCACAGTCTTATATACATTGAAGTATGTTGCTTGGTTTAATGTCAGAGCGAACCCTGGAGTACGCAGATATAAGGAGCCTTATTCTAGCATTACTTATCCCAGGATGGGACTAGTTATGCCAGGTTATACCCCTACAGCTGCATCCTCCACTGGAAAGCTATGGTCTACAGAAGAACAAAAACTGGCTGTGTGTGGACAAGCCCTCCGAGCAGATACAGACCCATGGCGCTGCACATAAGAACTGCCATTTACTGGGTCAGAGCATAGGTGCGTCTTTCCCAGTATCTCGTGTCTCGCAGTGGCAGACAGCGGATGCTGAAAGGGAGAGGGAACTGGGGATGACCGGGGTTTTTTCCACCGGTCCTCCCTCACTTGCACCTCCAGCATTCGAGGTCTACCGCACCTTTTAAAGAAGGCTGCACCTTTCCGATAAGGCTGGGGCTGCTTTCCCAGCTGAGTCAGGGCCTCCGAAGCCAGGGTTTTCTTTGGACTTGGGCTCCTGGAATGTGTTTCCTCCTCTTCCTTTTCCTTAGGCATTTTCACCAACTCAGCACAGCTCCTTCCTGCTGCCGGCATAATTCAAGACATAACTTTGTCTTGACAACATATGCCGGAAAGGAAATGGCAAGATTAACAAAGCCCTGCTGCTTCCCCTCCACTTCTCCTGATTAGCATTTATTCTTATTATATATTCGGTATGTAAAGGTGGGCGTGTGGTTCGGAGAAATCCCCCACCCCCACCCCTCCTGCCTCTTCCTCAGGTCTGGCACTAGCGGGAAACCCAGATGTTCGTAGGCAGAGCTCAGCAGATCCCCAGATGAATCGACTTGCCTGCCGCTCTCGAGGGTTCATACGTTTCACATGACCCAGCATCAGTCGCTGGTGCTCCCCCCCTTCTCCTGCCTCTCTCTTCCCCCCCCTGCCCTGCCCGGCTCCTGCGCCCTTCCCACCCCACCGCGCACAGAGCCAACCTCCTTTCAATGCAAGCGTGGTTTTGTCTGCACGTGAGCCGTTAGTGGAAGAAGCAGGGGGGGGGAAGGCTGGAGGAGAAAGAAAAACGTGCAGAAGGCCTGTTGGCTTTCCAGCTGCTCCCAGGCTCCTCTGATGGCATGTTCTGTCGGTGTGAGCGCTCCTCCCCGTGTTGCACGCCGGCGTTTTGTTGGGTTTGGGTGTTTTTTCTCCCCCACCCCCTTTACTCCGGCTCTGAGCTGTTGAGGATGGATGTTGCAGCGGTGCGCTCTGGACCGCAGCCAGTGTCTGTCTGAGAGACCGTTAGCCGGGCGATGGGATGTGGTAGCAGTGTGGAGCTCCTTACAGACACACGCGCGCACACGCACAGAGGGAGGGGAAAGGAGAGGAGAAAAGGGCCGTGCCTGAATTCTAGCAAACCACAGAGGAGGAGGTACAGAGAAATGGATGCTGCCTGTTAGGCCAAAGGCCTGCTCACGCTGGATTTAATGGGATGCTTTTTCCTGTGGACAGTCTGGTTAACATCTGAAGCGCGGCTGCTGCTGCTGAGGTGAAGGAAAAAGGTAACGAGTGCCTTTTGTTTTCAGATGTGGGGCAAGCGGGGCATTGATTGTGCAGCATATTTGCAAGGCTGGGCGCAGAAGTGCACAAAATCGAGCTCTTTTCTTTCCTACCATGTGCACTTGGTTTAATGCATACATATATAGATATAGCTATATCTGTGTGTGTGTGCGTGCCATAGGCAAGTTCCTCCACGCCCCCTGCCTCCATTTATTTGCAATGAAGAAGAGGCAGAAATGTCTGTGGCATTTGAAAAGGAAGAAAGCAAATGACTATGGGAACAGTGAGAAGCCCCCAGAATGGATTAATCGGAGAGGGGAAGGGGTGCAGGCAGCGAGGGGCATGTTTGAATTCAGGCAGACCCAGCGACACGCTTCCTTTGACGGCTAAAATGGACTGTTCTTATACCTACCAAATGGCTGCAGCAAGTTTAATGCTGAGCTGGGGGGGTTTGCTCTTGCAAAGCCCCTGGAATATTTTTCACTTCACCGGTGCACCTTTTTCCTAGCTCGTTGCAGAAAAGTTACCGCATCTGAAGTCTGGAAGAGACAAATAAATGGCCCCCGTTTCTCTAATCCACGCCGGTGTATCTGCCTGCAGTGCAAATGTGTGTATGCCGGGAGGGTGTCTGGATGGCTTTGTTAGCATGTTCGCTGCTGGGAGGGTGTTAGCGAAGTAGATATGAGCATCTATGTAAAATTTCAAGGAGAGACAATTGTTTCTAATAATAGCTCTGGCAGCGGTGTAGTAATACATGCACTCAGACTCTTGTGTGATACAGCAATCCTCGCTCGGAGACAAGCCAGGTTGCGGGGAAATTTGAACCGTAATCCTGAAAACCTTGTCCTGAGCAAAGTAAAACCTGCGGAGCCGAGATTTCTTTTCACGAGCAGGGGTGTATTGTGCGTGTGTGTGCTCCCGATGCCACTTTGGGGCTCGCTGCTGAGCTTTTATTTAAAGTGCATTTCATTCGCAAGCTCCTGAACCTCCCTCTACTCTCCCTTGTGCCCATTTCGTACCAGTGCTGCTCCACTGGCTTCAGTCCACTTCAGTATTTACACCAGTAGGATTTTGTGGACCCCCTCCCGGCCAAGGCTGTCAATGAAGGTGTCTCGTGCATGGACCAGAGGAGGGGAGGTGTCTGGAGTATCCATCTGTGCCAGTTTTGCCTGCCTATAACTGAATCCCGGAAACCCCAAATATTTCCGTGGTGCTAAAGCAGAAGATTGATTCCCTTTTGTGGGGTGGGGATGGCAGAGGGCCCACAAGGAGCGAACACCAGGTGAACGCTATTTGAACGCGCTGCTGCTAACCCTGGCAATGCTGTTATACGTTGGCTCAGGATTGCTGCTCAGAGCTACTTGTTCTAACCTTTCTGGCATGAGTTCCCAGAAGTGGCTCCTCTGTAAAAGATACGTAGCAAGTCATATTTTGGAGAAGAGACACAGTGGAGTGAGGCTGAGGTAGACCAGCTGAGGATCAGCCCCCGAACGTTGGAACCAACCGCAGTTCATGCTTTCCAAGTAACCCATTAATAAATTCTTCTTTTAATGCTGCTAAGGCTGCATAGCCAATTAACTCTTTTTAAGTCACCTTTAGGAGTCATTTGGCTTTGGATCCCACCTCGAGGTGCAGTGTAATCACCTACCTCTCCTGCACAAAGCAGCCTTGAGGGACGGATTCGGTTACCACTCAGATTCCTCTCCCCCCCCCCAAAAACAGTGGTGCCAGGAACGAGCCCAGAGTGGCGCATCTCCAACTATAGACTGGCTTGTGGCAGCAGAGG